CTTTCTCTATAGCTATATTAGGCCTCCTGTGCAGCTGCTCCCATGTTCTGCAGAAACTGATGTACTTGGCAAAGGAGAGAGGGAGGCTTCAAATGTAGCCACGAAGCAGGGAGTATAGCCAGAGCTCAGCAGCAGTAGGTGCTGAGCCTCACAGGTAGGGTCGTTGGAGGGTATAACAGTGGGGTCAGGCAGGGGAGGAGGGGGAACAAGCTCTGGCTACGACTTAGGGATGTCATGTCTACCTTAGGACAGGACAATGAATCTTTTGCCCACTTGTTCCATAACCAGAATTGTGAAGACAATAGTATTTGTCAGTCTTCCAAATGTTTGTAAGTCAGCCATTGTGAAAAAGGAACTCTGATAACGAAGATACTCTTTAACATTTCAGTATTCTCTAATAGGAAGAAAAATAAGGAAGGACTAGAAGGTAACAGAAAAACAGGATAGAAAGCGTGGACTTGTCTTTTAGTTCTATACAAGTTACTACGAAGTAGCATTTCCCAATTTTGCAAAATGTGTCTCTCATACTTCACAAATTAATCTGTTTCTAATTGCATAGTCTAAATGTATCTACTTGATCTATTCCCTCTTAGACTGTATGAATGTCTTGAAATTGTTTATCTAAAATTATCTTATTCAGCATTTCTGCACTGCATAGGCTGCACAGGCTGGGAAGGCTGATTATCTCTCCAATCACAAAGAAACTTCTCTGATAAAGCATCCTAAAATTTTCTTGTGTATCTGTCTCAAAGGGGATTTAAATTTGAAAGATCACTCAAGTCAAATGGAATCCTACTGTTAAAACAGTATTTCTGAAAATATTAATAAAGTTGATAATAGTAAATAAAAAAGCACTGACACAAAGTGGAGCTAAGCATCAAGGACATCACAGATCACCGACAGTAGCTTTAGTTAGCAAATAAATAACAAAGAACCGAGTCAGCATTACAGAGCTTCTGTTATTTTAACTTGAGTGGAGGATGTTTACTGTTAAAAGGGACAAACAAGAATATTAGATAAGATGACAGCTCAACAGATCTCAGCCCGGAATTTATCACACACTGTTTAATGGGGTATTTAAATAGATAACCAGGACTCCCTTGGGTCAAGGATATGTGCCCTCCCGCGCACACTGCACTGCACAGAGCAGCGTTTGTTTTGCACGACGCGTGAGCCAGGGGCCTTCCACCCGCATTCCCTCTTTTTCAGAGCAGTGTCGTGGAATACTTGGACTCGTTGCGCTTGGAAACAAGAACCCTGGAGAACTGCTTGTATGTTAGAGATCCAGCGGGGAGCAAGCGCCCAGCATTAGGTTTCTATAAACAAATGCACACTAGAAAGGTTAAGACATTAATTTGATTTAGATTCGCTTGTTAATGCCATTTGGCATTTGGTAGCGAGTTTGGTCTCTCACAGTAAGAAAAAAAGGCCGTTGGATTTTCTTTTTAAAGCTGTTCGGTTAGAGAGTTGAACGGCCGGGTCCGAGACGGCCAAAGGCGCCGTCCCGGGGCGGC